CATGATTTCATTGAAGTCCCCAAATAATCCTTTGTGATGGTAAGCATTATTAGCTCCATTTTACAGATGAAGAAGCCAAGGCTCATTCTCGTGCCCAAGCTCATACCACAGGAAGTGCTACAGATAAATTTCTTTTTTTTTAAGTTTTTATTAAATTTGTTACAATGTTGCTTCTGTTTAGGTTTTGGTTTTTCAGCTACATGGCATGTGAGGTCTTAGCTCCCTGACCAGGGATCAAACCCATACACCCTATATTGGAAGGCAAGATCTTAACCATTTCACCACCTACAGATAGATTTCTAATGTAGATCTCTCTGATTCCAGGCATGATGGAAGGACGTGGGGACTGAATTTCCTAACATACACTGTGCTGTGGTTCCTCTTCCCCACTATCTGTGGGTATATGCCTCCACCTCTACCCCAGGCATCTCCAGAAACCTGGGCAGAGAAGGCAGGAAGACAGTTAGAATCTGTAAAGAACACAAATCTCATCTCTTCTTTTAGAGGCTTAGAATCCCTGCGTGACTCCCTTGCCCTGCTTAGGTTGACCAGCAGGCCCTGCTAGCTCTGGCCCCTGTCTCCTCCAATCTCTCTGGCCCTCCTAGACCACTTCATCTTCTCCTGCTGTACCTTCAGGCCCTTGCACACACCGCTCCATAGCCTGGGAGGCAGACCCCTTCCTCAGTGGGCTTTTCCCCTTCTGCCCTTCAAAACTCAGCTCTGACCCAACCTCTTCCAGGAAGTCTGCTGCAAGGTGCTGGAAAAAGCACCTCCTTTGGCTCTCCAGCCTGAATTTATGGCTCAGGGCAAGGCTGAACATGTGATATGGTCATTGTTGACCTGTCTGCCTCTCCCAAAGAGACCTTGAAATGTCTGTAGCATGAATGAACCAACCAGGGACAGGATTCTAGTACCCAAGTCCCTTAACCCTGACGTCATTTCCAGGGCTTGGCCTCAACAGAAGGAGCTCCTCACCCCTTACTGTCTGGCCAACTCAGAGGTGGAGATGACATGGGCCCTCTTGCTGACTCAGTGCCTCCTCTGATCAGGAAGTGAGGCCTCAAGGTTAGGCGCAGGTCTCCTTGGCCTAACTGGTAGAGGGAGGGCTGGAGATTCTGTAACTGGAGGAAGGTAGGAGCACAGGGTTGCGCACTGAGCCAGGGAGCTGATCTCACCCTTTGTGGATTCAGAGGCTGCCAGAGGGACCTCTGCCCTTCCTTTCAGGGTGTCCACCCCCCACCCCACTGCCAGGCTTACTTGAGCGCAACTGATCAGATCTGATCTTGGTGGTATCTTCACTCTGCCCCCTCCCACTCTTCCCCTGCCGCCCCCATATCTTCAGCACAGCAGATCCAACCACTTGTCTCCGATTGTAGCGAGGGGGGCGACACTAGCGAGGACGGGTGGGGTGGATCCAAGCCCTGCGAAGCCCGGAGTAAGGGAATGGATAAAGGAGCCCCCACAACCCGCGCCGTACCCGCGGTCGATCCGGGTTTACAAGGAGGCTCATCCAGGATTAGTCCCTGCGCTCGACTAATCCCAGCAGCTGAACCGACCCCGGGGTCCGGGAGTCAGGCCCACGCTGCGAGAGCGGGGGGTGGTGGGGTGGGGTGGTGGGGTTGGGAAGGGTGCACGCGGACTGAGCGGAAGCGCACGCGGGGGGAGGGGCGCCCCCGGCAGGCGGGGCCGCGAAAACGGCTGATCCGGTCTCCGTTCTCAGACTTCTTCCGAGCTGGTGTTTACCAGGGAGCCGGACGGAGGAGACCTGGCCACTCGGCCCGGAAGCGGGGGGCGGGGAGGGGAGCGCATTCGGGGCCAGAGGCTGAGACCTTATCGGGTCCCCATATATAAGACTTCCAACCCTCGTTCCTGAGCATGCGACGGAGCGACAGACAGGTGTCCCCAGCCCCTTCTCCCATCCAGTTCTGTGATTCAAACTCTGCTAAATAAGGGGTAGCGGGAGTGCATACGTGCTCTACGGAAGACGGCAGCATAGCGTAACCCTCCGCAGCGCGGTGAGCCCTCCAGCCTAATGCCTAGCCTACACCTTAACTCCGGTGGGAATGGGTTGCTGGAAGCGGATCGAGCCCAGTGGATGGCTTTGGAGTACGAAGTAGATCTGCCCTGTTTCCGTCCTCTTGTCCCCATTCCTGCGTGCCGCCGATTAATGCCATTATGGATCTCGATCCCTCTTCTCCCATCCACGTCCCCCGACCCCCTCCAAGGTCGCTACCCCAGGTTTAGCCTCCACTTTCCCCGGGACGCCGACCCAAGGGGCTGGAAGAAGCCAAGTGGGGTCCGGTTTTCACACTTTTATTGTAAAGCTCGGGAATAATTACACGGGTCTTTCATTGACAGCTCAGCAAACAAACCGGAAACGAACCGAACCGGAGGGGTAGGGGCGGTGCCTGCGCATGCTCGCGGCGGGGGGCGGGGGGCGGTCAGAGAAAGAGAAAGACAGAGAGACAGAAATCATTACAAATCAACGGGATTGTGCTCGCAGCGCCAGGGACGGGGTGGAGTGGGGGCGGAGCGGGGGCCCTTCCCGGGAGGAGCGAGGCGGTGGGAAGTGGCACGAACCAAGAGAAACACGACCCCAGTGTGGGCACCCGACGCGCCCAAAACCCCCCTCCCTGATCCCCACCCCCCCAACACACGAGAGAGACACGGCCCCCCTCCCCACTCAGATACCCGAGGAGACACAGTCTCCCCCTCCCCACGGGCAGACACACCGCCCGGAAACCCCATGGGCGAGACACAGTCCCCCCTCCCAGAGAAGTCCCACGTGGAGACGCCCCCTAAGAGGCTTTCTCTTGGCTAACAAGCCAACCCAACACCAGGAGACAGCCCCCGCCCCGTCCAGGGAAGAGATGGCTCCAGAGCCTGGGCCCTCAGGAGAGAGAGGTATCCCAGCGCCCCTAGGAGAAAAGACAACTTAGAGCTGCCCAGTCTCATCCCAAGTGCTGCAGGTCAGAGACAGCCCCGGAGGAGAGGTGCGGGGAGGGCCAGAAACATCTCTTCCCAGACATGCTTCAGAGATAGCCCCCTTCCCTGGGAAGAGAGATGGCCCAAGACTGACATGCCTTAAGTACTCCCAGGAACCCTGGGAGGAAAACAGGCTCCCCAGAGAGCCTGGGTAGGGGGGAGACATGCTCCCATGGTCCCCAGAGGGAATACATATCCCCCTAGAGACTCCTAAGGGGAGAGATAGGGTCTAGGGAGCCCCCAGAGGTGAGGGATGCCCCAGAGACTCTCCCCTGGGGATGTGAGACACGCTTCAGGGACCCTAGGAGAGAAGTATGTCCCCGTATACCCTCCCCCTACCAAGAGACATGCTCTGAAGTAGGGGGTGAGGACAGACTAGGTCCCCTCTAGGAAGACACTGACTGGGTCAGGCTGGGTTTGAGCGGGGTCTCCTCTGGCCAAATGTCGCCTATTTGTACATAAAACTGTACGCGACACAAGGCATTGGGGAGGGGCTTCACAGACCTAGGACCAACGGGAGTGGTCCCCGGTGCTGTCACCCACCCCCTGCCCACCTTTGGTTTCACCTCTCCAGTGCCCAGGTGGTGACAGACTCAGAGCCCCGACCCCAGCCAGGGGGCTAGGGGCTCTGCCTTCGCCTGTGGGAAGGGCTCCTCTGTGCTTCTCAGCCCTCCTGGCCACCTGGGCCACTCTCTTCCTTCTGGCTTCTCCATTGTGCAAAGTGCTCCTCTGCCCTTCCACTTAGTGCTCAGGGCCCTCCAAGACCAGGGCAGGGTGCCCAGGCCACCAGGGGCTTCCAAGGGGAGTCTGCTGACCCCAGGAATGCCTCCTGTCTGGACCACCCTCTCCACCAAGCAAATGGGCCGCATACAATCTTGCCAGAATCTTGAACTCCAGGACCCAGGACAGCCCTCAAAGCCACTGACCCACCAGCTGGGCAGCTCATGTTACCAACTCCACCACTATTGCACCTGCCCCGTTTGTGCAGGGGGAAGGGGCTGTCTCTTTAACCAGCCCCAGCCCACCTCCTGGGCCTCCCCAAGGGAAAGGAGCCTTTGGCCAATCCCTGGACCTGGTTGCTGCCATCCCAGCCCACTCTACCCCCTGCCCTCCATAGAAGGGCTGTGGATGCTGGGGCCACCAGCCTAACAATGTTCTCCTTCCCAGCACTGTCACCCCAAGCCAAGTTAGGGGCAAGGAGCAGAGAATTAGGTGATTCTTCAGCCCCCTGGCTTTCAGGGGTGGAGGTGGGGTCTCTGGGGATACAGGAGTCAAGACCCCAGCAACACAGCTCCCAAAGGCACCAGACAACCCAGCAGCCTGTACCCACCCCTCCCACCCTTGGGCTGACCCCCCCAAGCTTAGACGAAGTCAAGCAAGGGCCATACCCTGAGTCTCCAGCCTCCCAGCCTGGGCCCCTGGGGAGCTGGAGAGGTATGGGCCAAGGCAGTGGGGGTTTCTGGAGGGAAGGGGGACTGAGGCTTTGAGATGGCCACAGTGGGAGACGGAGGCTCTGCAGGATGCCCCTCACACCCTGGCCCCCTGAGGTGAAGAAAAGAATCCCACCTCATCATGGCTGACTGGGCTTCTCTGCCCCCCAATCTCCCCACCCCCATGGGACCCCTGACCCTGGCAAAGGGAAGCCCAACTGGAAGAAGGGGGCCTGGAGCCCAGGGTGCCCTGAGGCGCCCTTTCCACCCCCTGAGATCAAGGCAATGGTGGTTTTACAGGCTGACGGGTCAGTCATGGCAGGGGCTGGGGGTGGGGGGCAGAGAGGGGGCAGGGTGCAGGTACCCCCTATTGGGGGCAGCAACCAGCCACCCCCTGAGCAAACCTTCCTGCTCCCAACTCACCCAACCAGGCCAGAGGCACAGTCATCCCACCCCTGTCCAGCTGCCCCCCACAGCCTCAGGGCCCCTCTGTGATGCTCATCTGGATGTGGGGGCCAGCCTGAGCGGGGATTCCCCCCACCAGGGCACAGCGTAACAGTTCCAAAAAAATAGAGATTTGTATTCTTAAAAAAAATTAAATAAAAGCCCAGCTCTGCTGATAGGCGAATGTTACCCTTACCCCCACCCACCCTTTGTTTCCCTGGCCTGCACCCCCATCCCACCATGGCCCCAGGGGTATTTACAACATGGAACAATAGAGGCCTGGGGTGGGGGGCACTGCGGCAGGGAGGAGGGGGCATAGGGCAGGTCCCCCCCAGAAGGGTCCCCCAAGACAACACAACATCAACAAGAAAAGTTGCAAATCAGGCAGAAATGGGGACATCATTCCAAGGTCCTTATATACAGACACTGCATGACCAGTGGGGAAGGGGGGGCCCCCAGATGGGACCCGGCATGGGCATGTGACAGGCAGGTGGGCCGGCCCAGGAGCAGTACAGGAAGACAAGGCCTCCGCCCCACTCTCACCCCCATCCCCACCCCACCTTTGGTAACAACAGCCCTTCAGGGAGCCCCTGGCGGTTGAATTTCCTCTGGGAATTCCCAGGGAGGGGGGCTCCCCAGTTCAGCCCTGCTGCAGGGCTGGAATGGGGGCATCCTATCCCCGCCCTGGTCGGCCATCCGGGAAACAATGAATTAAAAGTGTGCTACCCGTGCCCTTGACTCCACCATCTGCCCAAAGTAAGGGGGTGCTCCCTGGAAGTCGAGGGAAGGAAGCCTAGTCATCAGAGAGGAGCCCTCTTGGGCATCAGCTGGGAGGAGCCCCATAAAGAGGAAGAGGGGGCTCCCTAGGGTCTGAGGGATGAAGTGAGGGGAGAGGACCTGGACCCTGCAAGGGGGAAGGGCCAGCGTGGTCATGAGGCCAGTACCCCACCCCCCACTCAGGGCCCTGGCCAGGAAGTCCACGCTGGAGGAGTCAGGAGCGGGGACCCTGGAATGGGCCCACCTGGGAGCTGGCCGGCGACTGGGGAAGGGGTGGCCGGCCGGCCAGAAGGGGGCTCACAGGTAGATCTCACGCTTGGCCGTCTGGGCAGATGCCGGTGTGGCCGCGGGTGGGAAGTCCGAGGTCTGGGTCAGGGGGATTTCCTCCAAGGTGGCCGAGTCCTTGCAGGAATCATGGCTACTGTGGGAGAAGGCACTGTAGGGGGGCAGGAGGCGCACGGGGGCCGTTTTGGTGTTCCGGTCTTCCGGGGGGCTGGGGCTGCCGGCGCCCGCAGGCTCCTGCCCTCCTCGGTCCTGGTAAGGCACGAAGGTGGAGAGTTTGAGGGCGCTGCTCTTGGTCCGGCGGCTGGGAGACGACTGGCCTGGCATCCAGCACGTGTCGGAGTGGCCAAACTCGCTGCACTCGCGGGTACAGGTGCCCGTCATGGCGACGTCAGGCAGAGGGCGCAGGTCTGCAGGGAAGAAAGGGGAGGGTCCTCAGGCTGGGCAGCCTCCCAGGGCTCTCTCCATGGCCTCCCAACAGCACCTCCACTCTGCCTTGGAACAAGAGTGCACACCCCTTCCTGCCCACCAAGCTCACAGGCACACACACCCTCCCACCATCCACGGCACGTGCACTCTCACACACACAGCCTATCCTTAAATAGACACATTCCTTCTTCCACCCTCCAGCTCCCCTCACACACCCACTGTATCTGCCCTCAGACAGGTGCACAAACATACAACCCATCTATGCACTCTGCCATCTACCTCCAGGCAGGCTGACACATGCACATCTACCCTCAGATAGGGATGAGGAAACCCCCATCCTCATTACAAACACAGTCTCTTTCTCCCTCATCCCCTGCTTCCCCACACACACCCATAGCCTTCCCCTCAGGTAGGCATGGATGCACAAATCTACACCAGACATCTCTATCCTCAGACAGAGGTGGGCACGTATCTTCCTTCTGAGCCCCTCAAGCCTCATCATGCCCCCAGCTGTCCTGGAACCCCACCCCAGCACAGCAAGGCCCCACTACAAAGCCAGGGGTTCCCATAGAAGCACACACTCACATAGCCACAAGCACGCTCATGCAGCCCCACCCCACCTTACTCTGGCCCCTACAGCAACCACCACCCCTGGCCTTGCCCCGGCTCCCTGCCCAGAATACCCACGGGAACAGGAGTTGGCCGCCTGACATCAGCAGTAGCCGGTGTGGTTGCTGGGCACCCGGGGTCTCTATGGGAACGGCTGGGCCTGGAGCACTTCCTGTCACAGTTGTCCCCATCCCGCCCTCTCTTGGGGACAGCACCAGGAGGTGACCGCCCCCCCACCCCCGGCCTGGGACATGACTGAGCAGCACCACCTGGGGTGGGGGCTCCCCTGGCACCACCCACCCTGGCTTGGCCTCCTGCCAGTGCCAGGTGAGAAGGGGACAGCTCCATCGTTAACCCTCAGAGCACCCAGGCTCTTCAGCTCAGGGCAGAGTGGGGGACCCAGCATGGCACGGAGCAGAGCACGGGCACTGGGTGGGCAGGGCTGGGTGCTGGGCTGAGTCCCACAGACCCCAGAGCAGCTCCCACATACCTGGCAGTCCGCCTCAGGGCCTGCTCCTGCCAGCCGGCTCTGCGCGGGCACAAAAAGGACGAGACGGGCGTGAGATCGGGTGGGGAGAGAGGACACTCTGAGACCTGGGGCCTGGGAGTCAGACAAGAACCTTGTGCCCGCAGGGTGAGGTGTGTGGAACCTTTCATCTTTTGGGGGGCTTCGGGACTTCGGCCTGAGGGAGGGGGCGAGACCTGAGGACAGCTTCAAGCTAGAGAGTCTGTCTATCCCAAGGGCAAGCTGATTTAGGCTCCCCACCACGGGCCACCACAGATGCCTTCACACACACACGCACTACATCCATACATTCTGACAACACATCCCCCATCTGTCCCCACACTGCTCCCGCCCAGACCTCACTTCTGTCATCACCCTCCAAGCCTCTCCCAGACAAGACTTTCCCCTCCCCAGCCCCACCACCCCTCTCCTCCGCCAAACCATCTCCTGCTCCCCCAGGGGACCATCACACGCTTCTCTGGGCTCCTTAGAGCGTCCAGGGTCCCTTACCTTTCCTCAAGGCCCTCTGACCCTCATTACGTCAAAAGATTGCCTCAAGGTTCCCTCACCACTACCTGAGCCCTCTAGCCCCCATTCTTGGGGTCCCTGTTCCCAGGAAGCAATATAGAGTAGTGCTAAATGCAAAGTCTTTGGAATCAGAGAAGCCTGGGTTTGAATCCTTCCCAGCTTTGTCACTTCCTATATATGACTTTGGGTAAGTGACTCAACCTCTCTGAGCCTCAGTTTTCTCCACTGTAAAGTGGGCACAATAAAGTTCTCATATCAGAGTGGTTATGCAGATTCAATGAATATATCAAGAAGGCACTCTGCACAGTGATTACTGCTGGCCACAGAAGAGCTCAAGAGATGGAGGCTGTTTTGTAAGGTCTTGTCACCGTTTTCAGGCTTCTACTGATTCCTGGGGTGCCCGACCATGCCAATGCCCCTCACCGTTCTCAGGGTGCTCCATCTCTCCTATGCTGCCATCAGGGGTGGTGCGCTCATAGTGATCCTCAGGCAGAGCCAGGGGACCCAGTCGGGGCCCTGATGATGACTTGCTGGATGGCGTCTCGGACTCCTCCAGGCCACTATCGTAGTAACTATGCTGGGATGGGTCCTGCAACTCCTGGGCCTGGCTGGTGGCAGAGAAGGTGACGCGGCGGTGAGGTAACTGCGGGGAGAGGAAACGTCACTGCTGGCTGGCCAGCCTGCCCTACGGGCCCACCACCACACCAGGCTGCAGCCCCAGCCAAGCCTACCCCCAGAGCTTCTAGTCCTTTAGGCCTCAGCAGCAACCAAGAAGAGGCCCAGCCTCCCAGCACAGCACAGCCCCCCAGAAAGCAGACACCTTCATAGAGGGCTGCCCTTCATTCTAAGACAGCTCCCAGGACAGCCAGGACCACACACGGGAAGTCCCAACACAGCACAGGCCCCAGTGTTATGATAGCCCCCAGGCCAGCAACGATAAGCCTAATCCAGTACAACCACTTGTTAGAGCACAGCTTCCCAGTATTGGCAACAGCCTCTCTTTCATTCCAGACAGCCAACACCAAAATAGCACAATACCAGCCAACTCCCCTAATTCCAGCATAGCCTCTAAACACCAGCAAGCCTCCAGTTTCTAGAACAGTTCCCTGAAAGCAGGACACACTCCTCATTCCAAAACAGCTCAACAGTTCCCTAACTTCCAAATAGCAGCCTCCAGACTCCAGCTCCTCACCTGTCTCATTGCTCCGTAACTTCCTACTGCCTCCATCCAGTGGGGTTGCTAACCGCTGTCTGAGCTTCTGTTCCTCACCCCTGGTCTGCAATGCCCCCTGGTCTGTAGTGCCGTAGGCAGGACTCCCTGCTGAGTCCTCTCCCCTCAGCCCCTGTCCCCACTTGTTCCCCTTGAGAGGCCTGGGAGTGGAAAAAGATGAGAAGGAAAAGGAGCCTGATAACAAACCAGGGCACCTTGGGGGTGGGGTGGCAGAACAATGGAAACTCCCCAGCCCTCCACATCAGGAAACAGGATTAACTGGAGAGGGCAGGGCCCAGGAGGAGACCCGGGCATAGGAGGAGGGGCCGGCATCCATCAGGGATTCAGAAGGCTGGCTTCAGATGGAGACTCCTTCTAGGAAACAGGAAGGAGCTTCTGGGAGGGGCTGCTGGCTTGGTGGAGTCAGGATTTAGACTGGAAGCTGGGGTTGGGGAAGTGCAACAGTGACAGGCTGCTCCTAGCCAGCAGCTCTGTCTGCCTGCCATGGGTTAATGATCATCCCAGGAACCTGGCAACCTCAGCCTGGCACTTGGCACAACCAACCAATCACCCGAACACCCACCTGGGACTGCCACTGGTTCTCCTGCCAACCAGAAATTAGGAGTTGTGGAGGGCGAAGACCAAGGGTCCCTGGAGGCCAGGGGTGGGAGCAGCCCATGCCCAGGGCCCTGCTGATGAGTCTCCAGGTTCCCTCTGATCCTCTGACTTTGTGCTGCTTTGTTCTTAAAACTCTCAATAGGAGGTTATCGAGATGGAGGGTGGCCCAGGTTTGCAGACCCACCCTCCTGATACCCTACACAATTTGTGTCCCATTCAAGGCAGCTGGGGTGGGGGAGGGTGTCAGCATGGGGAGCTGCCTTCCTACCTTGCCTCCCACTCCATCTTCAGGCACAGACAACCCTTCTCGAGATCCATGTTGGGATCCAAAACACTGAAAGGTCTGGGTGGTAACAGACAAGATCTCCCAAACTGACCTGATGATAGGTTTCATGAGCTCTGGGAGGCAGAGTAGCCTGGCTATCAAGCGTTTTTTTCTTCACAGTTTTCTTTTTAGACATTAGCCAGCAGCCTTCCCTCCCTGCAGAACCTGTGCCTGATAATCCAAGGCTGCGATCCTGCTTCCTGGGATACACATTACTTGGTCTTTTTCTATGATGCTTTTCTTTAAAATGGAGGATTGGGTCACACTCAATACTAAATATTCCTTATAGTTCTATGACTCTCATCAAATCTTAAAAAGTCTAGGGACTTCCCAGCAGTCCATTGGTTAAGATTCTACACTTCTACTTCAGGAGGCACGGGTTCAGTCCCTGGCTGAGGAACTAAGATCCCACATGCTGTGCAGTTTGGCCAATAAATAAATAAGTCTTAAAAGCCTATGTCCAAAATCTGTCTCAGACCTTCTAGTCCAGGAGTTCTAGACGCTTGCTGTAAATTTCTAGTTGGTGTCCCCATGGACCCTTCAGATTCAACATGCCTGAAACCAAATTCTTTTTCTTCAATCAGCTTCTGCATGGGCAATGATCTTACCATTATCCCCCTTATCCAGACTCAGAAGGATGGTATCTATCTGGAAATCTTGGTAGCTCTCCCTTCACTCCCCACCCCTACCCCATATCCAATTATTCCTTGAGTTCTATGGGTCTTTTCTCAAGAATGTCAGCCTGATCCATCTATCCATCATTCCCTTTGCCACCATCCTTGCCTAGACCTCAGGAGTTCCGTCCTGTACCTTCACCTCCACCAACTTAAATCCACCATACACTCCAGTGAACTTTCTAAAACTCAGTTCATCCAAATTCAAGAGCTTTCGGGGGCTCCCATTTCCTCTTAAGGAACTTTTGACAAGGCATCTATGTTCTCTATAGCCTACAGTCCTCCAATCTCCTGTCTCAGCTCCCCACTCCATCCTCCATTCCGTTCAGAATCCCCTTTCTGCCCTCTCCCTGTCTCCAGCGGTGACACTCACTCCTGCCCCAGGGACTGGCTCAGCCTCCCATCCATCTCCTTCCTGCTCCTCACTTCAGGAAGAGCTGGTTCAAGGTGCACATTCCCCTCTCAGGAGCCCACTCCCATGTCTTCTCATACTACATGCCTCAAAGAAAGGGAGGGGACACCATGGTCAAATAAATTTGGAAAACCCAGAGTTATACAAAGCTTAACAGTTTCTCCCTTCTTGCAGAACTTTGCAGAGCCTTTATTAGGTTAATCTGAACTTAGTCAAAAAGTGCATAATGGAAAATAGCAGACTCTGGCAACCAGATCTCCTGATGATTTGAATTTGACTCCATCGCTACCTAGTTTTCATTTCTGTAAAATGACCTACTCACAAAGAGTTATGAGCGTTGAATGAGCTAATTCACATAAAATGCTTAGCATGGTACGTTGCACCTGGTAAGGACTAAAAAAAAAAAAAAAACGAAAGCGAGTAGTGGCAGAACAAGTTGGGAAAAGCTTTTCTACGTGGCATTCTCACTGGTGAGAATCAACACCAAGATTCTCAACTGCCTCATCTTGTCACTTTTATGTCTTGTAGAAATATGACCATTTTTCCCTCAGGGTCTAGCACAGTGCTGAGCACAGTAGGGATTCAGCCTATGTGTTTTGATGATAACAGCAGTGTCGTGACTTGGTTATGTTTGAATGTGCGGTGTGGCTCCATCCCTGGGTTGGTCTGGAGCTGAGTAAAGGATAATCCCTCAGACTTCGTGAAAGAAAAAGAGATGAAGGAGCTAAAGGAACAGAAGAAAGAGGGAGAGACAGTGGCAACAAGGAGAGGAACAAGAGAAAGGATGACTGGTCAGGAGCTGCTGGAGGTCACCCTAGAGATGATTATTTGTCCAGGAGAAATGAGATGAAACCAGATTTCACTTCCCCATGCCCCACTCCTCCAAAACCCCCAGGATTTTTACTTTGGGGGTGCCCCAGGGCTTTGGGGAGTTTGTGGACAGAATCAGAATAGAGAGCTGGCGCCGTGGACCTCCTGGGAGTGTCTCAAGCCTCTTCAGTCACCATGGACACAGGTTGCCTCTGGCCTCAGAGATTCCCCCAGGACCTGAGTCCCCTTACTCTGACTTTAGCCTCCTCTTTGGGCACAGCCAGCGACAGGGCAGACCCGGGGGAGCAAGAAGTGAGAGACGGAGAGAGAGAGAGTGAATGAGAGCTAGCAGCTAAGGGTGGCCAGAGCAAGGAGCTGAAAGAAGGGAAGGGAGAGGGCCATATCGGGTGCCTCAGCCTGGGTCAGCAGTGGGGGCGTAGAGCAGGCTGGTCCGCTGAACTGGAGGATTCCCTCCCCTCTCCCTGGGCCCTCCCTCCCATCAGCCCGGGCTGGTGACCCTGGTGGGAAAACAGGGCAAAGCAGGCTAATTGCTGGGTGTTGAGCGGTTTTGGGATGAAGAGGCTGGGAAAGGGACTTGGGAAGATCTTGCCTCTAGGGAAGGTGCCTAGTATAATTAAGAGGTTCTATGCCTTCACCTGAGGCAGCCAGACTGCACTCCACCTACCCCTACCAGTTGCTCTGGTCTGAGCTCTGTTGGGAACTGCTCAACTCCCCTCTGTGCACAGAGGGGAAAGGTCAAGTCTTAGCCAGTGGAGAAAGGTCAGGACTTGGGTGCCTCTCCACCCGCTTTCTTAATGAAGGGCATCATTCCCAAGGAGGCCTCACAAACCTGAGGGGAGGGGGACTTCCCTAGTAGTACAGTGGGCAAGACTCTGTGCTCTCAATGCAAGGGGCCCCGGATTCGACTCCTGGTCAGGGAACTAGATCCCACATGCTACAACTAAGACCTGGCCTAGCCTAAACAAATAAATATTGTTTGTTTGTTTTTTTTTTTAAAAAAAAGCAACCATGAGGAGAGGGATACACTGCTGGACAGCTCCATTTGAAGGGTGCTTCACTCAGACATGGACTCGGTCATTGTCATGGGTTGGGGGGGGAGGTGATCAATTAAGACAGGGTTGGCAGAGAGGTACAGGTCTGGGACATGGGGATGGACAAAGAGCAGGGGTGGGGACATTGAGGCAGGACCTCCAGACAAAGGATTGTTTCCAGTCTCTCTCACTTCTTCTCTCACTTCCAGGAAAATAAGAAACCAAAACTCCAAAAATAGAGAACTTTATTATCAGGGGGAAGTGTTTGGGACTCGGGAAGAGGAATGGGGGGCCCAGCCCAGGAGTCTGGGGTGGGGAAGAGGGTGACACACACTACACGAGAAGGCACAAAAGGGGAGGCCCCCCTCCCTGACAGAATCCCCACCTGGTTACCCACCAGGACCCCAGGTCTCCCTGTTTCCCCTTTAGAGAAGCACCCATGGCTGGTCTCAGACAGAGACCCAGGTTTGAAGGAGACTTATTCTCCATTTCCCTCCTGGCTTCTGCCTCCAAACCCTTCTGCTCCCCTGCCCATCAGCCCCCACCTGTAGGACCCGGCATCTGGCCGTGCCCCAGGATGTAACAAATCACAGGCCTCTCCCAGTGGGGAGGGGCGGTGGGAGGGGGAACACAGAGCGAACCCTCCGTTTTCACTGGGCCCAGCCCTCCAAGCCTGGGTGAGGCAGCAGGGTCATTGCCGGTCCTAGTATTCCCTGACCTTTGGTTCCACCTCCCACCACTGCCTAGGGCTGGTGAGCAGAGCAGGTCCGAGACATCAGCTCCGTCACTCCCACACCTCGGTCCAGATGGCCCCGTGGTAGGGGTGGGGTGGGGGCTGGGGCGTGCAGAGCCTCAAGGGCTGGCCTACCTGCTTGCTGGGGTATTTGGGGGGGTTGGTGCGGTAGCTGTAGTCGGAGTACTGCTCAGAGCCCGTGGACGTCGTGTCCCCGGTGCCCACGAATGTGTTTGCAGGCGGCAGTTCCTGCACCACCTGGTGCTTCTTGGAGGCGGAGGGCGACTGGGGCTGCAACTGGATGGAAGGCAGTGGGGAATTAGAGCGATAGTGGCGACCCAGGTCAGGGCTGCCTGGTGGGTAGTTGAGGGGCAGGTGGATGCGCGGACTGTCCCCGGGGGCGTCGCTCATCAGGTTGAACTTGAGAGACTTCTGCAGGCCGGTCTCATCCTCATCCTCCACCGGTTTCACGGGCTTGGGAGACTTGCTCTTCTTGCCCTTGCTTTTGTTGCCCTTGGAAACTTTGCTGCTGGGCTTGGGGGCGTACAGGTCCTTGGTCTCCTTCTTGCCGGCCTGGTAGCCACTCTTGGCCTCCCGTTGCCGGCAGTAGCGCACTAGCACAGCCAGGGCGATGAGCAAGGCCACGGCCACGACACCAGCCACCACACCAAAGAGGATGTTGCCGCGCTGCTTGGAGCGCTCGTATTCTGGGTCCCCAGCGATGTCGATGTCCAGCGGCGTGTCCAGGCTGTGGCCCAGTAGGGTCTCCAGCAGCGTGCGGTTGGCCAGGGTCTCGTTGACATACAGGTGGACCAGGGCTGTGCCGTAGCGTGGGGGCTTGCCGCGGTCACTGACCTTCACGACTAAGCGGTGCAGCCCATGGTGGCGGCGCTCAATCTCCTTCTCCAGGGTGATGGCACCAGAATGTGACCCAATCTGGAAAAGTCCATAAGGGTTGCCACCAGCGATGCTGTAGGTCAGCTCAGCATTGACACCAGAGTCAATGTCCTCAGCTGTCACCTGGCTGACGGTCTCACCCAGACGGGTCTGGGGGGTCAGCAGCCGGTGGGAGGTGTTGGAAGGGGCAGTGATAAAAGGTGCGTTGTCATTCTCATCCAGCACGTTGATGGTGACACCAACGTAAGCCGAGCGAGGTGGGACACCACCGTCCACAGCTTTCAGTTGGAAGGTATAGGTGCTTTGCTGCTCCCGATCGAAGCTCAGGCTGGAGAGTATGGTGCCCGTGCCGTTCTGGATAACAAAGTCACCGTTGTCCTGCTCCACCGTGAGCTGCACCCGTGCATTCTCCCCCTTGTCCCCATCAATGACAGTTACCATGCCCACCGGACTCAGTGCTGGCATGTTCTCCATCACCGAGAAGTTGTAGCCACTCAACATAAACTTGGGGTCGTTGTCATTGCAGTCCAGCACGCTGACGAGGACAGTGGCTGTGCCCTGGAGGCTGGGGCTGCCCCGGTCGGCTGCCACCACCTTCAACTCATAGCTTTCCCTCTGTTCCCTATCGAGGGATGTCTTCACCCGGATCTCTCCAGTTTCAGGTGAGATGGTGAAGAGGCCCTTGGCAGCTGGCTCAGGCTCCAGAGAGTAAACCAGCTCAGCATTGGAGCCTGAGTCGGCGTCACTGGCAGTGACCTCGGCAACCACTTCACCCGGCTTGTTGTTTTCTGGGAAAGCGACCTCGGTGACACTCTGGGTGAAGACAGGCGCATTGTCATTGACGTCCACCACCTGCACCTTGAGGGAATTGGTGCTGGAGAGCGGCGGGTTGCCAGAGTCCACGGCCACAATCTCGATGGTGTAGTCTTTGACCTTCTCGTAGTCGAGCGGGGTGGTAGTTTGCAGGAAGTACTTCTTCTTGCTGTCGCTTCCCGTCTCACTGGCCTGGCGGAGTTGGAAGGGCACATCGCCTGCTACCACACAGGTGACAGCCGCATTCTCTCCCTCGTCTCTGTCAGATACCTGCACCAGGGCCACAGCTGTCTCTTCTGCCACATCCTCCGAGATGTTAGCCATCCCGTCCTGGTGTGTCACCAGCCCTATGCCACGGATCTCGATGGTGGGCGCATTGTCGTTCATGTCCTTCACAGTCACCACCACCTGGGCTCGGGCACTCTTGGGGTTGGTGCCACGGTCCTTGGCCAGCACCGAGAAACGGAGGGTGCTCAGGTCCTCACGGTCCACGGGGCCCTGCACAGTGATAAGTCCGGTGTTCCTGTCCAGTCGCAGAAGACGTCTCACGACTTCAGGCGCCTGGTGGAAAGTGTAGTCGATCTCTGCGTTGGCACCTTGGTCTGAGTCGTTGGCCTTCACCTACAGGGCAGGGGCGACAAACGAGGGAAACAGGGCTGGGTTAGCTTGGGGATAACAAATTAAGGGACACTAGGGCTGCCTTTCCAGGGAGCACAGCAGACATGACTAATCTAATAAGGCAGCCTTTCCAAAAGCAGCACGTGTGAGCCCTGCCCTTTCCCAGTTCCTGACACTGTAGCTGATATTACTGATCTGTTTCCCTGAAGAGCACAGATAACAGCCCACAAATCCTCGATGGTGCTGCAGGCTTACTACTAGAGATGAGACAGGGCAGAACTGAACTCTACTTATCATTTCTATACTAGTCCACCCAAACGTGGGGATGAGGATCCAACTAGCAACCAGGGTAGCCCTTCCACCCAATTTAACTGGCCTTCAACCCTTCTGAAGAGCTGGGAATGTGTGAGTAGTAGAGATGGTGTGCATGTATGGCATATGTGTATAATAGGCATGCATGAACATACACGTGTTGTGACTATGTGAGAAGGTATGTGTGTACGTGTGTGTTTGTACATGAATGGAGACCCACATGCCCACCTGGAGGCCACAGGTGAGGGGACTGCTTTTTTTGAAAACAGCCAGATAGGGATGTGGGTCAGAGGGAGCCCGCCAAACCAGGCCACTACTCTTGTCAAACCGGGGAAACCTGTTTCAAGTCTCTTCCCCTCCCAGGTCTGGTGCTGGCTAGGCACCAACTTGAGGAATCCGGCCGAGCCTGCAGCCAAGAAGGAGGGACTGGTGCAGGCCACAGATCCTGCTGGCAGCAGGCTGGGCTCCCAGCATCAGACAATGAACTGTCTGTCCCTCTGCAGTGGGCACGCCCTCCCACGCCGAGGCACACTCGGCCCAAGTCTACACAAACACGGGTGGTGACGGGGCAACAGGAGCCAGGTGGGAATGGCCATGAGGGAGCACTGGTCAGGTAGAAACATGCGATCTGGAGTTAGGTCACAGCCCAACCGAATGTGATGGCAGTATGTGTAGGGAGATGAGCAGGGAGGCCAGATAGGTGCAACGAGGCAGAGTGTCTGGGGAACAGAGCAACAGTCTTATGTTCAAATCCCAGCTCCACTACTTCCCAATAATGTGACCTTGGGTCAATGATTTAACATCCTCAAGCCTCAGTTTACAACAGTGAACCTATTTCACAAGGTTGTGATGAGGATTAAATGGGATGGTATCTGTAAAAATGTCTAACACTGCCTGGCACGTGCCAAGTGCTCCCTAAATACCATGCATCTCTCTTTTTGTTCATCCATTCAGCCATCCATCCATTCACCTCTGAAAATCAGTGCTGACATTCTATGGGCCACTGCTAGTGTCGTTCCTTCCCACCAGGATTTTTTTCTGACAGTAAAGACACTTGGGTCAGGATTCCCAGCTGCTTGATCTCTGCTCACTCCTCTAACAGTTTCTCTTGGCCCCTCCATCCCCTCAGTCTGTCACTGACTTTTCATTATGATTCCCACTGTCTGTCTCCCTGTCTCGAGCTTGGTCACCCACCTCCTTATCCGCTTTTCTTGCCAGCTTACCTCTCTGACTCGACTTCTGTCTCTCCCTCCCATCTTGCTCAGTTCTTCTGCCTCTTTCCCACTGCTGGTTCTCTCCTATCCTCTCTTTTCTGCTCTATCTACCTGTAGCCTCATCTCTGCCCCATTCTCCTGCTTCATCCCACTTCTCAACTCTTAAACCCATGAGCTCTGAAGTCAAACTATTGGATGTGGCCGAGGTGGGATCTGAACACATCAGATGGGTGATATGAGGAAAGTTTCCTAATCTCTGTGGGCTCAGTTTCCCATCTGTAAAATGGGATAATGCTTACTTTGTACTGTGGGGATTAAATGATATAATACACAGAATGTATTCAGAACAGTGCCCAGCACTTAGGCTATTATTTAGTCAGCATCCCCGGCTGTTTGTCTCCCTTCTCTCTCTCAGTCTGTCTTCCACAGGTTCCAGTCCACCAGCCACTAAATAAAGGTCCAAACTCCCCCTGTGCCCTGCTTCAGTTTGGGGATGTAGAAGGAATGGTTTCCCAGGACAGCTAACGGTGAGCCCTCCTCAGCTCCCTCACATCAAAGACAGGCAACTTCAGCCCATGGGGAAGGAGAAAGGCTCTGGGGCTGGCAGGAGGCCAGGGCTGAGATGACAGCGCGAGATACACCCACCTGTCTACAGGGACGCTTTCTCGGCTCCCTCCCGGGCCCTGGCCCCACCAAGCTGGCCAGACCCTGGGGCAGTTCCCATGGAAAGGGGTGCTGAGAACTGCAACAGAGGCCACCAACCCCCCCACTGTGCCCAGCACCCCATACCCACGGGTGCCCGGTGCCTAGGGGAGGAGATGGATATATAGACATCTGAGCACAGTTTTCTAGAATCTTTTTTTTTTTTTTTTTTTTTAGTTTTCTAGAATTCTGAGGACTCACCTGGCAAAAATGATTTCATTTGACTGCCAGGGATGGGCAAAGTTGGGAAAGTCTCATCTGGCTAACGGGCCCCGGGTTGGGAAGATATTCTCATCTCTGGAGAGAATCTACTTGGACAAAAGGCGATTCATGTGTTCAGCTCGCTTTGCTGGGGAGGAGAATGTCATTTGACTTGGATGGGGGTTTCACTTTGCAGAGGTTTCTCCAGCTTGACTCTGCCTCAGGGATGGGGGATCACTGTTCTTATGCTGTGTCACTGGCACGTAAATAGCTTGACAGAGGAAAGTCACTCCCCTGTTGGAGTGTGGTAGGAAAGTCTCACCAAGCAGGGGCTGGGAAAAGAGATCTCACTGCAGCATCTTGACTGTTTTGCCCTTAAGTGAAGGGAATTCTCACGAGGTTGGGGTGGGCTCCCGTTTCTATATGGAAGTCACCCACAGGGTAAAGCAGGGAAGACATAGGGTAGAGTAGACCCAGGGTAGAGTGGGTCACCCTGACAGTTAGATGGAGGGGCCTCTCACCTGGATGACTGAGTGGCCTATGGGGCTGTTCTCAGACAGCTCAGCCTCGTAGGATGGCCGCTCGAACTTGGGGGCATTGTCATTGGTGTCGAGCACAGTGACCCGAAGCAGGGCGCTGCTGGCACGTGGGGGGTTGCCACCATCCTGCACCTTGATGGTGAGGTCGTAAGAGTCCAGGCGTTCCCGGTCCAGGTTGCCCATCACGATGAGCTGCGGCTGCTTCCCCTCCTGGTCCTCTGCCACCTGCAGCCCAAATAGCTCCTGGGCCTCGGGCCCCACCTGCAGCTCATATGACGCCACGCCGTTGGGGCCAGCATCTCGGTCCGAAGCCACCGGGATGGAGAAGAGTGAGCCGATGTTGGTGTTCTCGGGGATGGGCAGTGTGATGACTGGCGAGGCGAAGTTGGGCGTGTTGTCATTGATGTCCTGAACCTCTATCTGGCCCTCCAGCAGCCGGGGGCTGCCATTCTGCACAAGGTCCGTGATAGACACCTCAAACTCCAGGATGCAGGGCTCACCAGGGAGCTGGTTCTGGCATTCACGGAGCCCCTCACGGTCGATAGAGGTCTCGGTGGTAAAGATGTCACCCGTCTTGCCATCCACCCGCAAGTATGGGGCGCCTACCTCTAGTTTGTACAGGTGGCCCACGTCGGGAAAACCGTAGTCGGCGGCGAGGCTCCCGATGAGGGTATTGGGTGGCTGTTCCTCAGCCACCTTGTACACCACCCGAGTGGCATGGCCTGGGGACGGAGCCAGCAGCAGCAGCAGTGCTAGCAGCAGGGTGGGCAGCAGCAGACGTCGCTCCCCGGGGCCTGGGCTGTGCCTCAGGGGCCCCATTGGGGCAGGCTCCAGAATCAGAAGGGCTGTAAAGGGGAGAGACAGAACAGAGTGGTCAGCTGGGAGGAGAGCCCAGGCCCTGAGAGCTGCCCAGAGCCACCCCCCACCCCCCCCTCTCTCCCACCTACACACTGATCTCCAGGAGAGAGCTCTGCCCCGGTACAGAGTACCGATTCCAGGACCCAGAACCCGGAGTCTCACCCAGAGCCCAGTGTAGCAGCAGTGTCTGCTCCAGCTGGAGGAGCCGGTAGGCGCCGGAACAGGTCTAGAGCAGTTCCCGCCCCTGGAACGCCCGGACCCACCTGACACTCCCTCCCTCCCTGCTCTCTGCTCTGCCCAACACCTCCTTCTCACCAGCATCCTGCCTTAGTCACCCATGCTAATTACCCTGATACTGAGATAGGGAGAGACAGCAAGTGCAAGGGCGAGACCTGGAGCCCCCCACCCCCAGTCATGAACACAGTAGGAGAGAAACGCAGGAACCCTCACATTCCCCAGACCCCGATCATCAGCACCGCCCACGCTGAGGGCCGCTCAAGTTGGCTGCAGGCAGAAGGGATGACGTCACGTTCCTATCCTTCTGAGATGCCAAGTCAGTGTGCGCATGTGAGGTAGGACATCTCAAATCCCCTTCTTCTGACACTAATCACCCTGCTAACCAGGGTGCCCACCCCTACAAAGGGCCAGCTTGAACAGGGCCCCAACCAAGGCTTGAAAACAAGGTTGAGGAATAGGAGTTCTCCCTCCCTGACCTCCTTGCAAATGCACATGTCCCTGAGCATGGACACCTGTGTGTACACACACAGTTCCTCCACCCTCTCCACAGAGGGTTGGGGAGGAGAAACATGGGCAGGTACGTGGAAGATAGCAGACGTCAATACTGGGGTCAGGGCAGTGGTCAGAGCTGACGAGCCCTGGAACTGGCATTGGGAGCTGCCCTGGCCTGTCCTTAAAAACTAGGAGTCCAGCAGGTCTAACTGGGATAGGGCTGCCGATGACACGAGCAGCCTTGCCCAGACCACTTCCCACATGTCTGTTCAGTCTCCCAGTGTGCATCTGGCCCCTACCTCATACCTGGCCGCTCCCGGCCTTAACTGGTCCAGCCCCATCTCACACCTGTCTCTCCCTGCCCACCCCCAAATCCTTCCGGTGAGAGGCCCGTATGCCCCAGCCAACCACAAGCTGCACTGCAGTCACGACAGCAGCTTGCTTCTTCTGCTGGTCTCCTCAGCTTTGAGCTGTGTGTCAGCAGACTCCAGCTCAGTACCAGTCTTGACTACCTCCTCTTCTCCAGCACCACCACACCACAATCAGCCCCACTATTCAAATCCAAAGTCTTTGGCCCAGCATCTTCAACAGAGGCTCAGGCTGGATCTCCTGTCCCCAGGTCCTTGACTGCCCTAGAAATAGGTGCCCTGCACCTGGAAATCCTACCCAGGCCCTGTCACAGGCCACACCCACCCCACTGAACGCAGCTGGTCGCCCAGGAAGCCTTCCCAGGCCTCTTCAGCCCACAGTGACCTCTCCTTCCTCCAACTCACAGCCACTTATTGTGTGTACCAATCCCTCAGCAATGAATCACCGTGCAGCCGGGGACACCGCCCGCCCGTGTTATTCAGTCCCCATATTGTGCACCTAGTCCTGTGTTCTCCACCTCCCCAAGCATCCTGAGGGAAGGGACAGGGCTCCCTGCACTCATCCCCCAGCCCCCACCTGTGCCCCTTCCCAGAGCTGGGCTCACTGCAGTGCTCATTCATGCTTTCAGGGAACATTTATTGGGTACTTAAAATGTTCCAGGCTTTATCCTGGGCAGTGGAACACAGCAGTGAATAAGACAGATGCAATCTGTCATTGTGGAGCTGACAGTTCTAACTCATGACTGTTTGTCACTTTTGTTGGGTTGTACCCATTTGACAGGTGTAGGGCAGTAGGATGGAGAAGAGAAGGGACTGTGACATCAGGCAGTCTGAGGCAAACCCCAGCTGCCCACTTCCTGACCATGTGAGCTGGAGCAGTTGATTTAGAGCCTCAGTTTCCTTGTCAGTAAAATGGGAATAACACTACCTCTTTCCTAGGGAGTTTGAGATCATGTGGGCTGAATGCCTAGCATATGGGCACTCAACAAATGCTCCCTCAAAGCTCTTACAGTTGTAGTTAGGTAGCCGTTTGGGGAATAACTTGTGAATTGTCTGTCTTTCTGTGAGCAGAAACTAAGAGAGCTGCTGCTTTGTTCACTTGTATATCCATCCTGAGGGCCTCGCCCTGGACCCTGCACACAGTTGCCGCTGCTGTTGTTTAGTCCAACTCTTTTGCATCCCCATGGACTGTAGCCCTCCAGGTTCCTCTGTCCATGGCATTTCCCAAGCAAGAATACCGGAGTGGGTTGCCATTTCCTTCTTCAGGGGATCTTCCCGACCCAGGGATTGAACCTGGGTCTCCTGCGTTGGCAGGTGGATTCCTTACCACTGAGCCACCAGGGAAGCCCCTGCACAGTACAGTGGGGACTCAGTAACGGCTCGTGAATGACTGTGATTATTGTAGCTAACCGATCCTGGAACTTTATGTGTGTGCACTGCTTGTCCTCACCCAGTTTCTCTACTTCACTGAGAACTCCCCGGGCTCTGATCTAACCCTTCTTGTGTAGGTTAGATCTCAGCAAATGGTCATTGACTGCAGATTCCTTACACAAGCACAGCCCCTCCCTGGTCATTTCTCCCACTAATAGGCTCAACGCATGTGAGGCTGTTATCAGATGGGTAGTGTGTGTTTGTTCCCAGCTGCAATCTTAATCTCTTTAAAGGAGAGAGGAATTTGTCTGATGCTCTATTTGGATCCATCCTTCAGCCATTTCCCCTCTCCACATGGACCTGGCACTGGGCTCATCTTACCATCAAGCCCCAACCCAAACCCACCTATCTCCAAAGAACCTTACTCCCTCTGGGCACCTTATTCTGCCCTCCCTTGCACAGCACACACACAATATGGGATCACTGTGAGCACCAACTCCGTGCATAAGTCTTGGCTGGGTGGGACTTAAACCTGACAAAGAGAAGAAATAAAGCAGTGACCGCCTGCCTCCACTCACTCTCTCCAGATCAACAATTTGTAACCTTTTGGGGTCACATCCCCCTTAGTGAATTTTATGAAACTACATGGCAGATTTTTCCAAGAAAAACAAATGTTCCAAATTTTGGCTACAACTTCAGAGGTCCGTGGTCTGGCAGCGTCAGGGTGACTTTGATTTGTAGCTGCTCTAAGAGCTACAGATTAAGCACCAATCTTGGGGGCTTCCTTCCCCATCTCAGGTCACAACCAGGGGCTCTGACCTCTTAGGCCTCCCAGGCAGCACAAACATAGCAAGTCTGCGACACATTCTCCCCACCTCCCGCCTGACTCCTAATACTCATACACATTCTCTCACTCACGCTGTCACCCTTGCTCAGTCGCTCAGTTGTGTCCGACTCTTTGTGACCCCATGGACTATAGCCCACCAGGCTCCTCTGTCCATGGAATTTTTCAAGCAAGAACACTGGAGCCAGTTGCCATTTCCTTCTCTGGGGAATCTTCCCTACCCAGGGATCAAACCCAAGTCTCTTTCATCTCCTGCACTGGCAGGCAGATTCTGTACCACTGAGCCACCAGGGAAGCCCCGCTGTCATCCTTAGGAGTCAGGGAAGGATTGTGGCATCTAACTTCTGATTGGGAGGAACACAAAAGGAATATCCAAGGCAAGGACGGTTGGGGGCAGGGGGAGTTTCCAGGGGTTGGGAGAGGGTTGCCCAGAGTAGAATCAAGAGCTGAAGAAGGTTAGGCTCTTTAAGTACCTGAAGAGTCCCTTTAAAATGAGTACTATCTGGCCCCACCCTTAGGAATTCTGATTCTGGAAGAGGGAGGAAACCCCCAGGCAGCAAAGTGGAGGCAGCAAGGGTCTGGAACCTTCTGGGAGCAATCTTGAGGTACTCTAGGTCTTTGGAATTAAGAATGAAGTATAATTTCTGTCATCATCACCTTTACCACCATTATCTCTAACACTCCCAGAGATTCTACTACATTTACATCCATTTCCCATTTAATCCTCCCAACCCTCTGAAATGGGTCCCGTTTATTATTACATGGCTTCCCATAGTACAGATGATAAAACTGAGGCTCAGAAAGAATAACTGCCTTAGGTCATAGAAATAGTAAGCTGAAAAGTTAAAGTGAAGTTGCCCAGTCATGTCTGACTCTTTGCGACCCCATGGACTGTAGCCTACCAGGCTCATCCATCCATGGAATTTTCCAGCCAAGAGTACTAGAGTGGGTTGCCATTTCCTTCTCCAGGGGATCTTCCCAACCTAGGGATTGAACCTGGGTCATCAGCATTGCAGGCAGACTCTTTACCAACTGAGCCACCAGGGGAGCCTCTAGTAAGCTGAAGAGTTGGGATTTGAGACATATGAATGCTTCCCCACATGAGTTGAGAAAAGGCTGGATGGGGGAAGAGAAATCAACAGAAATCACTGGTTGCTATGTACACACACACACACACACAATCCCTGGGCTGCCAAACCTGCAGGGCAAGGAGTGAAAGAGAAAGAGGGTCTAGGGTTCAAGGATGGAAGGACGCCAGGCCTCCCTGGATGCAGGGAGAGAGAACAGAACAGCCAGGAGTGGCAGTGAGGCAGCCCCTCCTACTCCTGCTCCCACCATCCCTGAACTTTGTCCTGGTGGTTGGTTACAGGGAGTCATTAGTCCCAGACGGCGGCCTCTGAAGCCATTAGTGCCTTATCTGCCCTTGCCCAGGCACTGGCAGCCTTCCCGGCAGAGGTGTCCCCACCTCCACCTAGCGACACTGGGCACCCAGGACCCTGAGCAGTCAGAGCCTCAGGAGGTTCAGTGACTCATTCTTCTCAGGCTCCACGAGCACAGTGAGGTGGGAGAGCACAGAGTCCGGGAAGGCCAAGGAAAACGCCATCTGTGTCAACATCTGGGCTGGAAGAGGATGGCTGTGAGGGTCACCTGGAACCTTCATTGCCAGCCCACCCCGGGGACCAGGGGCCATTTCCTCCTGAATGCTGTGGCCAGAGAGGAAACACACAGGGGCAGATGTCACAGCCCCAGAGGCCAGGTCAGCTGTGACCCCCACCCCTGCACTGTATCAAACAGCCACCACCACGGAGGGCACAAATCACCGAGGGACACAGCAAACATCTGGGAGAGGAGGGTAAGCAAGCTGGTCTGTGTGGGGTGGAGCTGTTCAGAGGCTTCCCACAGTGAATAAGTGCACAGCCCTCAGCTCCTCTCCCTTCTCTTTCACAACCTTCTATTAGCCTCTGTGGGGTTTCCAGGCACCTGCATTCTTGAGTCAGATTGTCAGAGTTCAAGCCCTTGTTCCACCGCTTGCTAGCTGTGTGACCTTGGCCAAGTGACTTTACCTCTCTGAAGATATTTCTATATTGTGGAATGGAAATAATCCTGCCTCTTGAAATTATTTGGGAGGATTAAATGGGAGCTGATACATTAAGGTCTATTGTAAAGGAGAGATATCTTTCTCTCTAAATGGAGCATTTCATGTCCAGCATCAGGCACACAGTCGGTGCTCAGTGGTTTCATAAATCAGTGAACAAATCCCTTGCCAGCTAGGAAGACCTATGAAGGCAAGGATAGTTGTGTATCTTACTACCGTATTGCATCCTCATCACCCACCATGGGCCTTGGCAGACAGTAGGAGCTCAATACTTGGTTGAAAGAATCTCTGCAGCACCAACTATCCTCTCTCATGGTAGGGGTAGCCCTCACCCCATATGAGGATCTCCTCCTTCCCCATCTCCTCTCCCCAGCCCTGACTCCTGCTCTGCTCCTCCCTCCATCCTCCCAGACCCTCTCCTGACCCTTCCACCCACACTCCGCAGCAGTTAGCTCACCATCTCTACCTAGCCCAGGTCCCCTGACCAAGTAGCCACAGCAGCAGACTCTCTGCCAGCAAGATGCCCCTTTCCAGCTGAAATCCCTTTTGGGGGTGGGGATTGGGTGGGAGGGAAGGGGAGAAACTAAATGCAGCCAGAACTGAAACCAGACCTGCTCCCCTGCCACCCTGCCCCGGCAGTCTCTGGAGGCCCTTCTCATCCCTCTCTCCTCGATCCACTCCATGGGTCTAGTTATAATTACAGATCTCAATCCTCCGAGACCCCCAAGTCAAGAAAGTAACACTTGCTCCACCCCTGGCCCCCACACACCTAGACCTCTGACTGTCACAAACACCTTCTGGGCGCCCTCTTTCCAGGCAGCTACCAAGGGTTGGCTCAAAGCAGGTAGTGGAAGGCCCTCGGCATCTTCCGGCACGACGTCCTGGACTCAGCCGGACAGGCCGGGGCGGGCAGACCCCAGCCTACACCGCTGCGGTCCGCGGGCGCTCGTGGCACACACCCTGCGCTCGGGGCATCTCCTCCCAGAGGACACTGGAGAGAGTGTCGGGGGTGGGACGGCGGCAGTTCCTCCAGCATCCTCCGGCTCGCCCAGCCCCACCCCACCCCCACCCTCACCCCCGCGGCGCCGGGCCTCCCCGAGCTCGAGGCGAGGCGCGAGTGCGGCGCCGGGAGAATGCGCCTCACCAGCCGGCCCCCGGCGCCCCGTGCCCCAGGGGCCGCCGCGGGGAATCCCTCCTCCTCCGCACTCCGGGTCTCAGCCTAGGGACCCTTACAAGCCGACGTCGCCGAGAGCCGCGCCGCGGGCGCCGGGAGGGGGCTGGGAGGGAGCCGGCGCCGGAATCACAAAGCGGCGAGCCCGGCCCGGAGGAGAATTTCTCGTAAAACCGAGCCTCTCGCGGACGGCAAAAAAGGGGGCTTTACCCTACTCTCAATCATGAAAGACCTCAGAGTCGCCCCGAATATTTCCTGCTAGAAGGAATGGTCGCCGGCCACTGCTGAGAAATAGAGGCCAGAAGTCTGGGCTCCCGAGGGTAGGTGGGGGGGGGAGTGCGAGTCCTTGTCGCCTGCCAATTCTGCTCCTGCGCGTGCCGCGCGTGCCCTCCTGGTCCCAGGGCCTCGCCCGCGCACACGACTCTGGCCTGCAGCCGGGACCTGGCGGAGGGGACGCCCAGGTGTGAGGGACACAGGTGTGTGGGACCCAGGTGTGCTGGGGACCCAGGTGGTTCGGAGAACGCAACTGAATGGTCCGAAGAGGGTCGCAAACACTGCCCAAGGTTGGCACCCTTTGCGAAAGGGCCTAGTGCTCCGGAGCTTCGGGGAGGCGGGGTGGCGCGGCCTGCCAGGTCCAGCTTGTTCCGGGAATACCCGGCCGGCCGGCCGGGGAGTGGGGGTGGGGGAGGCGCCGGCGGGGAAGCAGGTCCGGCCAGCCCGCCCCTAGGGTTCCCGCCGGGCCGATATTTACACTGCCTGTATCGGATAAGGGGAAGGGGCGCTAGGGGCCTTCCCGGCGGCGCGGCGGCTTCCCAGGACGGAATCTGGCCTCTGAGGGAGAGGGACAGAGCGCGTGTGTTTGTGTATATACCCCGCAAGGTGTAATGTGATATTGATGGTGGAAGGTGTGTGTGAAATCCAGTATTAAGATGCGGGAAGCAATAGACTCTGTGTTTGTGACCGTGAAGCCCTGTTGTGGGTGCCACTTGCTGTGTTAGGGTGTGTGCCTTCAAGGCGTGTGCGGAAACACTGGGTTCTGTGTTTATGGGTGCAATCGAGGGGTGCAAGCAAGACGTGTTGTGTACCTATGTTCTGGCCAAGGAGTGTAACATAATTTATGTTAGGGTGTGTTCCTTAAAGGAATATGTGTGTGAGGCTGGATTTTGAGTGTTCATCTGGCGAACTGTGGCCGTGACACTCCTGTTTTAGGGCACGAGATTGCGTTTGTGTGTCCAAGTCGCCGAATGTCACACCCGGCTATGTTCTGTTGCTTTGTAGGACCACGGGTTGTGTGTCCGTGCTGCTGAGCGTGCAGGCGCTGAAGCGGATTCTCAGCTAGTGACGGTGCCCCAGCGGGCGCTGCTGTGCGGGAGGTATGCCTGTGTGCACATATGTATGTGTGTACATATGTCCGTGGTTTGGCCCTCTGGGTGCCCGCGGGGAGCTGGGCGCGCCTAAGTGATCCGAGCTGGTCGCCCAACAAGTGTGTGTGTGCTTGTGGATGAGGGTCCTTGCTTGCTACATCCTCGGGGAGTGCCCCCCGCAACTGGGGGCTGCGCACTTGCCCCAAACCATCTCCATGTCTCGCGCTCCCGGAGCCCCCTTATCCCCGCAGCTCCAAGCGCACCGGGGTGCAGGGCGCCTAGGCTGGGGTCCAGTCCAGCACACCCTCTCCTCGCTCAGCTTCTTGCGGCGGACCTTGGAGGCCAGGGTGCCCCGGCCGCAACCCCCACTATGAGCTCCCAAACGCCCCCACTTCAACCCCGGCACGCGGAGCACCGACTGGGCCCCCGTGGCCTCGCTCGGCCGAGCGCCCCTCCCTCGGCTCCCGCCGGCCATGGCCGCTCACGGGCGGGAGCCACCGCCGCCTCCACCACCACCGATCCTTACCCGACTCTGGGCAGCGCCGGCCGCGGGCCCTGCAGTCCATGAGCCGCCACCGGCCCCGGCCCGGGGCTGCGACTCGGCACGGCTCGGGCTGGCGCTGCGGTTCAGGCTCGGCTCCGGCTGGCTTTGCGCGCAGCAGCCCCGGCGGCTTCGCGTCCGCGCCGCGCTCCCGCTCCCGGAGTGTGTGAGGCGGCGGCGGCGGCGGCGGCGTCCTCCCCCAGCTCCGTGGCCGGGAGGTGGAGCTCGGGACGGCTCTGGTTCTGCTGGGAGGGGACCCCCGCACCGCTCCGCAAAGCCGGGACCCCTTTTGCTATCTCCTCGCTCCCCGAGGCCCGTATACGCAGATTGTCCCCCTCCCAGGCTCTTCAGTTTACACTTATTCCACCCGTGCCCCCATCTGGAACCCCTCCCGAATTCCTTTCCCAACCTCATTCAAACACCTGTCCTTTACTCTGCCCCCCTGGGAAGTCGAGCCACGGGAAATGTCTCCCGATGCCTTCTCTGGGCATCTGCTCCTCCAGATCCACCTTCTTCCTGCCCAGACCCCCAGAGCACCCCGAGTGGCCCTCCCTTCCCACTGCGCTCTGGGGAAGTCCACCCCTCCCCCTCTGGCCGAAGCCGCAGAGCGGTCAGCGTCGGTGGCCGCAGCAAGTCTTGGGGGTGGGGCTACGGAGGGGCCGTGGAAGGGGGAGGGTAATGGGACCCGGAGGCTCCGCTAGAATGAGGACTGGGGAAATATACAAGTGTGAGGATGAGGTGACGCGCCTAAGCTCGGGCTGTTAAGAGGGTCCCCCAATCACCTGTCCTCTGGGCGGCATGGAGCTGTGGCCCCAACACCTTTACCGGTGACAAACATATTCACACTGAGTCACACGGGCCCCTACCCCGCGAAGCCGCGCGGTGTCACGGCCTGTGTCACGCGCCCTCGCAGTGCCACACTCTCTGTTACACTCACACCGACTCACACACGGTGTCACACGCAGTGTCTCACACACTCGATAACTCAGTTTCTCCCACTCAGTTTTGGCTCTCTGGCGCCATCTAGAGGTGGCTGAGCGGCCTGGGAATTCCTTTTCCTTCGCCCAGGGTTTGGTACTCAAGGCTCTTAAGTACCCCAATCCAATACGACCTCCAGCCTTTCGCCATGGATAAGCCAACGCAGAGGGTTGAAGGTCAGAAGAGTGACAAAGACTGTGTTCCTGGAAAGACCTGGCATTGGCTGTGGAAAGGTCTAATACGGGATGACTGATATCTGAGTCTCTATTTGCCTTGGCCTCTGACTCCTCCTCCCTATTCACCCCCATTTTCCCATCCCTATCACTTTCTACCCCTTGTCTCTTTCCTCTAGCACCTCCCCTTCTGACACCTGGATTTTTGGTGGAGCCCTCCTCAGGGTAAGGGTGGGCTCTCAGGCCAGCTAAGGGCTGGCCAAGATCTCTCCGAGAGCAGCCCCCCTCTCCATCGGACTCCCTTTCTGCCCTGGGTCCTGCTCTAGTCTGCACCTCTGGCCTTCAGCCCTAGAATCCCAGGTCGGGGGCTCTGGGTGGGAGATGGGGTGAGCTAGTGGTAGGCAAATCTGCCCTTTAGGTGATTTCTTTCTGTCCCTTGCGAAACTCACACTCTCCCCATCACTGAGCACAGCTCCATAGGAGGAATCAGTGACCCAGAGACAAGAAATCTTCCACAGAGGAGCTGCCCCAGCTTCCCTGCCCCCAGCATGTGCCTGCTGCCCGCTGCAGCAAACCCTCCCCGGTCTGCTTGCTGGGAGCCATTCAAAGGCTCCTCTGTTCTCCTCCCTTGCTCAGGGCTGAGCAAGATAGGCAGCCGCAGAGCTGGGCAGGAAATGCTAATCTCCCAGATGTTCTCCTCCGTCCTCCCTACTCTACCACCATCAAGCCCAAATCCTGCACCAAGTGGTGGGAGCAGAACTGGGCCAGCGCAAGGCCAGGGTGTGTCTACTCTTCTCCCTGCTCTCTATCCCTTTCTAACCTGCTGCCAGGCTGGGCACTCTGGGGGATCTGAGCATGGGACAGTGTAGAAATGAGGAGGAGGCTGTTTTCCCAAAGAAGGAAGGCAGGCAAAGGGCAGAGACTGGGAGGTTACATTTGAGGAGAGAAGCCAGGTTCCTGGCCCCATATCAAACTGGGAAGAGGACCTGACTGACAAGTAGGATATGGGGTCAAGTAGGATATGGGGTCAAGTTCTAAACTGATGGTGCCTGAGATTCCAACTGAGACTATGGCTGGGAATTGGACCCTGGGTGATGCTTGGTGTGGGAGTGGTTGGGATGCTTGGGGCCTAAGGCTCTTGCTGTGATATGTATGTGCCTGGGATGGACTGTGACTAAGAAAGTTAGGATGGTGTAGATCCTGGTATAGTAACACAAAAAAATTGTTGCCACTGATAGCAGCTGGAACACTGTTGTGATGCTATGATGCTGGTGTGCCTAGGCTATCGCCAAAACAATCTGATTATCAGAGAGGCTGTTGTATGTGTTCATGTGGAAAGGAGGGCTGTAACTGAAATGCTGTAAGCCTTGAAGCTGAAGATATGAGGCTGGCATACCTGAGACTGGCTATAGCTGAGAATCTGTTCTCTGTTCATATGACGTAGGTAGAACTGTAACTGGATCCATTGCTTAGGTCCTAGGAGATGAGAGGCTGTTGCTAGGAGCCTGTACCTGAGAGGAATGTTGTTACCTGGGATGAGAGCAGAGCTACTGTTGTGTATAGGACTGTAGCTGGGATGCTATTGGTCCTGAAACTATAGCTGTGATGACAGCATACTGGGGATTGGCTATAGCTAAGATGCTGTTGCCCAGGCTTGTGGCTGGTCTATTACTGTGTGCAGGACTCTAGCTGGGATGCTGTTATGCCTGCAGCCATAGCTCTGAAGCTCAAATGTAGCTGGGAGGCCATTTCCTGGTAATATAGCTGGACCACTCTTGTGTGGGGGATGGAGCCCAGACTCCGTTGCCTAGGAGATGAGAAGCTGTTCCCCGGGAAGCTGTTCTGGAAGGCAGGATGCTACCTGAGATGGGAGCTGATCTTCTCTTGGAGCTGATCTACTGTTGTACTTGGGACGGCTCCCGAGTGGCTGTTGCGTCTGAGGCTGGCTGGGTGGGGGAAAGCGAGTGAGTTCTGCCTTGAGGTCTGGGAGATGCCAGGAGCCCAAAGCTAGGCGGGGGCTGCTGCTCTGGGAGGCTTCAGCAGCTGCTTTGCTGTGAAGCTGGGAAGCCTGTTTTCATTACTGTTTTAACTCTTTTTTTAACCTTGTTTTTCTCTCGGCTGCACTTTTGCTCACTCATTAATTTTGGTATTTTTCTCACGGTGCCTCAGCCTCTGTCACGGCTGCCATGGCAACAGGAGGCAGTTTGCACAGCGCCAAAATATCTGATCAAAAAATAACCAAAATAAGCAAACACCAAAACGACTGTTCTGGGGGCTCCGGCCAAGGGAGAGCCAATGGCTCAAGTCCAAGAAACTCTAGGCTCCCAAGGGACCCTTTTTCTTCCCCAGGGAAGCTTTGCCAAACCTTCTGATAACCTCGGAGGCCCCTTCCCAAGGGAATCTCCCCCAACAAATTCTCCCAGGACTCTGAGATTTCCAATGGTCCCTGCCCAAGAGGTATTGAGAAGATGTGAGGACTGGGGTTCACTTCCCAGGAGCTGAGTCAAACCTCTAAGAAGCTCCTTCCCTGCCCTCACATCTGCACTACTCCACCCAGCCCTCTTCTGGCCCTCCCTCCTTCCTCAGGCTTCTTTTACTTTCTCTCCTCCCAACCCCTGCTTGCCCACCTCCACTCTCTTCTTTTCATGCCCCAGCATCCGGACAGGTTGGATAGAGGGGAGGAAGCTGCAGCCTCCAGACCACCCCCAACTCTTCAACGGAGATACGAGGAGAGATGCCACAAAAGCACCTGACACTCCTAGGCTCTGGCCACCTCCAGCTCCAGTTGCCTACAGGAAATTCCTGAACAGCCCTGAATACCCACACTCACTCTGATTTCCCCCCAATAGCATTCTAGTTTCCTGGGGACTTCCTTCTCTCAAGTGGGCATGTCCCCAGGAGGGGTAGAACAGTAGAGCCTCAGGTGGAAAAGGCGGGGCAAAACTCTTGGTACTACCTGTTTCACTTCTTCACCCACTAATTTCCCCTCTGATGGGGCTTGTCTAGATTTCTAGAGCACTAAGAGCTGGAGCAACAAGAAGGCACTCTTCAACTCTGCCTGAGTCACATCACAAAATTATATTTCTGGCTTCTCTTCTTCGTGCCCCTCCAGAAGTGAAAATCTCACTCCCAACAGGTCTTTGTCCACCTCTGAGAGCTAGAACTCACCTTCTGCTCCTTATGTTCAATTCCTATAGCCCTCTCCCCACCAAGAGCAGTAGTGGCCTTGGCCTCCTGGCAGAGCCTTCCTGGGCCTGTTTCCATAGAAACCAGATAGTCTGTGCAGTGTGAGATGGGGAGGGGAGACAGGAGCAGGGACGAGGGACCAGACCTCAGGGACAGCCCTAGAAGAAGGGACCTGGGCACTGAGAGGAGGAAGCTGCCCCATCCAAAGGGAGGGGGGACCTTGATTTGGAGAGGGGGGAGAGAATCTTTGTAGGTTCTGTCCCTACACAGCTTTCTCTGTTGCCTCCCAAGGAGGCACACAACTGTCTCCTCACCTGGCACAGAGAAGGGGAGTTCCTCTTTCCCCACACCCCTAAAACCCTTCTTTACCAAGAACTTTCTGATCTGGGATGATTCTCTTTCCCAGGAGGCACCAGTCTTAGTCTAAGACCAGGATCATAGGATACCTTCCCTCCCCCAAGAGCTACGCAATCACCCCAGACCAGTGACTCTGTGCTCTGAAGGCTGGGCAGCCCTGGGACCCGGTGGCCGCTGCTGACCCCGTGGCGTGCGGCTCTGAAAGGCCCCATTCATCTCTGGGGGCTGAAGGCACCATTGTCCCTGGCAGGGGGTGGTGGAGGCAGTGGGGGGTCTCGACTCAGAAGGAAGGAATGTGTCTGGAGAAGTTGCCCCCAGGGCTCCAGTCTCCAGGTCCCCACCACATCTCCATAGGGACCCCTTCACGACCCCAAGCCCTCTCCCCCACTGCTCCCGGCAGCCTTCGCGCTTCTCCTAAGGGTGGGAATTGCCGCGGTTTGGGGTAGAAGCCTCGCCCCAACCCTCTGG